TAATTGATACTGTGTAACAGGAAGAAAAGGTCTAAAGGAGCAGGGGAAGTGGGAGGGGTAGGGGAAAGGAAAAAAGGGAAAAGAAAAAATATGAGAAAAGGAAAAAAATGAAAACAAAGTCTTTGCAAATAGGGAAGCATGGAGGGGGTGAAGGGAGGGCAAAGGAAGGGGAAAAAATAAGAACCAAGATACTCATGTAATGGTACAAGATCCCGATGATGAATGTAACTGTATTGTATACCGAAAATGTACCAATAAACTCAATGGGGAAAAAAAAATGAATGCATGCGCACTAAGTAGAGAATATAGACATTATACAAATTTTAAAAAATAGTTTTTCATTTATGTATTTAACATATGTTTTTTGCTGATTTGTTTTCTGAGATTTGTAAAAATACTGCTGGCTTTTTGGCCAGCACATGGATCTTTGTAACTTCATGTTTTATGGAAACTTGTCTGAGGGAAGATTGCCAAACCTGGAGTACAATCTTTTGGTTGGAGTACAGGTCTGAGTACTGAATAAAGTCATATAAATTCTGTTATTAGTCTTTCATTATTTGGAAAGTATTCTTGAATTTCAGTGGTTTCCTCTGCTTTCTGTGGCTCTAGATGCTTCAGTGTGGCTTCCATATATGAGTTTGGTTTGAAGCAGGCGTGATCATTCTTTCCACCAATACTTACCTACTCCTGCTGGGTGCTGGGCACAGGCTGGGAACTGAACACACAGAGAGAACAAAACAGCCCCAACTCTTTCCCTTTTGGAGCTCAGAAATACTTTAAAAAGCAAGTACAGAAGTATCTATGTAACTGTGCATTTTGATGGGGCCTGTGAAGGAAAAGTGGTGTTTTACAAGAGAAATCAAATAATCTTCACAGAGTGAATTCTTAGAGATGTATCTTTGAGAAAAATAAAGGAGTTAGAAATGGGATCCTAATCTGAATAAACACAGAATTCTGCCTTGTTCAGTATAGATATTATCATAAAATCATTGCTTCACCTTGTGTCAGGAAGCTGCAGATAGTAAACAATTGGTCATGTTAATCAGCTCATCTGAATGTTCTCTAAGTCAAATTTGCCTTGCATTAGGTGGAAATTCCTTCCAAGGACTAACAGGTATGTACAGGTGCCCTTCTCTGGAGAGTTTGTGTCCTTCCTTTGTGTAAGACCCTGCAGATAACAACTGTTCAAACTAAGAACCACTGATGAGGGTGACTGGGAAAGCTACATGTCTCTGATGGAGCATAGTATGGTGCTTAAAAATCAAGGGTTTGAAAGTATTATTTTATATTTTCACAGTTAAGGCCATTTATCTTTGTAGAATTGGGGGGACAAGGCATACTCCCCTATATTAAAAATATACTTAATATACACACTAGACTTCTTGAAAAGTTTATGAGATTTAAGAAAAATAATTACCAAGGCTAGTAATGGTGGTAACAAAGGGTGAAAACTTCCTTTATTTTTTAAAATTTTCATTGCTTTGTATAAAAACTTCACTTTTTTATTCTGAAAAATTTCAAAACTGCAGAATAGTTGAAAGAGCTCTACAGCAAACATCTACAGATACTTCCTGCAGATTTAGCAACCATTAATATTTCCTTACTTTATCTATTGATCAATCAATATCTATCTTTTCTTAAACATCTTGAATACAAGTTACATACATCAGGATACTTTTTCCCTAAATTCTTTAAATTCACTAAATTCTTTAGTATGGTTCTCCTAAGAATAAGGACAGCCTTACAATCTTTCACCTACTGGTGTTACCATTTATTGATAATCCTTGCTGGAAGCAACAAGTCCATTTTTGATAAAATATCATAAAACAATGTTTCAAAATTCAAATTTTCATGTTTATTCAGCTGGCATTCTTTAATAAATAATAGCTTCTTTATCTCTCATCAATGCATCTTTTGTGTTAATTCAAGGTATTATATCCATTAGTTTTTGTTTTTGTCATGTATAAACTGCCTCACTTCTGGCCTTTGGGATGCCATCCACCCAAATCCTGTGTCCTTTCAAGGTGTATCCACCATCCTTTTGAATAATTTTAAATCTCTGCCTCATCAATTCACCCCAGGCTCATCCTGTCTCATTCCCAGAATCATCTGGTTCATTGAGAATCTCTAGTTCCTTTTGAGAATAGATTTATTCAGAAAATAAAATTTAGATGCCAGGAGTGCCTCTTGCTTTCAAGGTATCTTTATTTGCAAGTGTTTTGTGAAAACCAATGTGATATTTTACTCTATGTAGTACTATTATATTACATTATTGATGTTTGCTAGTCTGCAAATCAAATCCAACCTAATGAGCTCTCATTTTCTATTTGGACTTCCCTTCTCCCATATAAAAAATCCCTGGTTCCTAACTCAGTGTATTGACTTGTCTCTTACAAGACATACAAATAAAGTTTTAGATTAACAAGGAACTCCTTTTGACTAAAGAATATATTAAGAAGTGATATTTCATGACTCCCTACCGACCCCTACTGTTTCCTTTGTTGCTTTTGTAGTTTTCAAATAATTATCCACAAAGAGGTTGCCTGTTATACAGGAGGTCCTCTCAGCCATTCCGTGCACTGTGATGTTCTGCTGTGTGGGAAGCTGTCTTATGCATTGAAAGATACTTGGGAGCATCCATGTGTCCCCAGGCAGCACCCCTGGGGGTCAGCATCATCCCTAGCTGAGAACACCTGCTCCACACAGATGTGCAATTAAAGAGGATTGTTAGTACAAATATTTTCTAAATATAAATATCTAATTTTCTGGTAATTAAAGTGAATCATCACTCAAACTTTCTGTGTGGATTCTTTTAATGATGTTTTCCAAGGTGCCTGGGATTATAGAATTTGTTTCTGTGTAGTTTGATTACCTGCTATGCAGTTTTTTAATAGAAAAATATAAAACTGATTTTTTTTTTGGTGCGGGGAATTGAACTCAGGACCTTGGGTGGCAGGAGCCAGAACCTCTGAGCTAAATCCTCAGCCTGAGAGAAAAATATTAAAATAAAGATAATTGTGTATTATGATGACACCCTGAAAGTATCATTTCATCATCATGATAGACAAGTAAGCTAGTTAGGCCTATTTTCTGCAGAACCAAAGACATGATTGATCAACCTATATTTTTAATAGTATAGTCATAAAGTTTTGTTAATTTTTTGATAGTTAACTCTGTAAAATTATTTTTGAATTCTTTTCTACCATTAGTTGAGATATAGTTACTGTATTTACTACATATTAACTGTAAGTCAATACTGTATTATCTTAATTTCTACTCTGTAATTACGGATTTCTTCTCTAGGATTTGTTGTGTGTTTGTATGTGTGTGTGTGTGTGTGTGTGTGTGTGTGTGAATGTGTGCATTGTTTTTCTGTTGTGCATATTTTTGGCTTGTTTATACTTTCCAATATTCTAATACTAAAACAAATATGATGTACAAAAAGTAAAAAGACCTAGGGATGTAGCTCAGTGCAAATGCCCCGGGTATAATCCCCAGTATTAGGAAAAACAAAGAGCGAAAACCAACAAAAACCTTTGGCCAAAAACTTTAGCCATAGCTGAAACCTGCTTACACCAGTGGTCTATCCCTTTCGGTTAATGACTTAAAAGTCTGTAAAAATACAGTATCTTGAAGCGAAAAGAAATTAATTTTGGAAGCAATAAGGCCCATTTTGAAGCCAGACTCCACTGCCATTAGGGTATAAAGACTTTATTTGCCCTCTGGACCTCTGCTTCCTCCCCAGTGAGCACACTAAGGACAACATTAGCCTTACAGGGTTTCTGTAAGGATGACTATGATGACACATGCAAGGCATGTAGTCCCAGTCCCGTAGGTGATCATTCTGTACTAAATCCTGTCACTCTTCACTTGTGGCAGGAAAATAACCTGCCTGGCTAAGAGAACTTGCTTTTGCTAAAATACTCCCATCTTAAAATCTGCATAGAAGCAGCATTACTTAAGACCCCTTTATACACCTCAAACAGGTTCTGCTCCCCTCATTCCCTGAGTGTCAGCATGCTTACTCTACAGGAACATGCTAATTTTTTTTTTGATGCCAGATAAATACACACACACACACACACACACACACACACGCACACACACACACACTTCCCATGATAATTTGTAAGATTGTAAGGCTACTTTCCAGAGTCAAGGTGAGCCTGTTTTCGAGTTTTCTGGATTATTTTCTGGAACAAGCCTGACCCCTAGAGGACAGGAGTTGCATGTAACTCACCAAGAGCCAAGCAGCTCCCTAGTAGGTTGCGGAGCACTAAGGCACTAGTGAGACACAGGCTGGGATGAGCATGGTATGGGGGAAGGATCTTAATTCTGGAAGAACCAGAATCCTTATCTCTGTGAACTAAAATGGATTTTAGTTAAAATTACACATATTTATATTGAATCATTTGATTTGCTTGATAATTGTAAACATACTAACACAAGGTAGTAAACATTTCCAGCACTCCCTAAAGTTTTCTTATTCCCCTTGTGGTCCATTCTGTTTTCAGTTTAATCTTCTAACAACCACTTAAGTATTTTGTGAATGAGTTTTCATTTTCTAGAATCTTTATCTTTTAACAAATGCAATTACATTGTGCTATTCTTTTGTGTCCAGCTTTTTAAACTGAGTTGAATGATATTTTAGATTAATTTAAATTGTATTATTGGCAATTTATTCCTTTTTACTGTTCAGTACTATTCCATTGTGTGTATATACTTTATTTTGGTTAACTTGATCATAGGCCTAAATGTAAAAGAGCAAAATTTCTAAGAAAAAACCTTCATGAGTTTGAAGTAGGCAAAGATTCCTTAGAATAGCAACAGCACAGATGGTAAATGGGAAAAAAGATAATTACACTTTGAAAGAAGCTATAATAGATTAGGAGACTCTATATATTATATAAATATATTATATATATAAAGGCTTAAATTCAAAAAGGTAATGCACTCTAAGATAATTTAAAAAAACATAAAATGTTTGTAGAGATACTTCACAGAAGAAAATATACAAATGATCAATAAGCCCTTGAAAAGATTCTGAACATCATTAGATATCAGAGAAACACTAAATGAACATTTTAATGCCTATAAAGGGATTGTGTCTATTTATGTGCTGCCATTTGATATGGTACTTTTATGTAAAGTTAATATGAACTCTTTTCATCAACTTTTAATTATGATCTTTTACGTGAAAGCATTTTGATTGATGCACTAATTCTTTATCATGAGTGATTTTTCCCATCTATGGAACTTGGCCACATCTGGTGATGTTTCAGATGGTCAGAGTTGTGGTGGGAAGCTGCTTCTGAGACTAGAAGGTAGAGATGCCATCAACATACGACAGTATAAAATACAGGACAATCTCTACAGCAGCTAGCCAGTTTCTCAGCTATGCTGAGTTTGAGAAATCCTGCTTTTGTACAAACATGCAGGACTTTTGCTTATAGGCATCAGTTGAGAATAGTGATAAAATGCAGGATGGTAAAGAAGAGGAAGATGAGTTCTCTGTTGCCAGATAGTTTCCAATCCAGTAAGGAAAATAAAGAAAATAACAGTATTATTTCAATAAATGCTGCAATAGAAAATAATAAAATATTTTAAGGTTTCAGAGAAGGAGAAATATAAACAGATAATCCAGTAGAAAAAACAAATAATACTCTGTGAGGCTCAAGTACTACTTACGTTAATGAAACTAAAGCTTGACTTCTTCAAAGTTGGAGATAAAAGGTAATTCTTGTTTGTCAAATTTCACTTTTAATTCTCTGAAATATAGCAGGAGAAAGTAGAAATTATTTCATGGGAATCAGCTTAATGCTGGATAATCAAGTAAACATGAAACTAGATGATGGCTACAAAATGTGTTTTCTCTTCAGGTTTAAGGCAAACCTCACGCTGATCTCTGACTCCTTTCACAGGAAGAGTGTCTCTTAATACCTGCTACACAAGATCACACATCCAGCTATCTAAACTTATTTAACTCTGGACAATTCCTTCCCCTGCTCACTCTTAGCATACCTCTGAGCTCTATTTCTTATTTGGTGACCTGCTCCTCTCTCCAGTGCTGACATGTTCATTGATACTTCTTTCTCTGTTGCAGAGTTGTGGCTTTAATTTGTGTGCTAACTGGACAACCCTATCGGAACACACTACAGGATCCTCCACAATCAAGCATTTATAGATTTATACATTATCAGAGAAGGCAGACAGTGGCCACGTTGAATAGAGGGATTTTAGCTAGCAACAGTCTGATGCCGGAGATTAATTCCTCTGAAAATATACTTAGGTGGCCTCCATGTCTTATGCTATCTGTCAAAATTAATCCAAGGCTGGCACTAATCATATACAGATTGTCAGACATGATTGCAGTTAGTGGAGAGAAACCAGTGTCAGCACTGGCGAAGGCCAACAGGAGACAAAGGCTAATGAGAACAAAATTGAGAAAAGAATCTAAAGATAGGGAAGAATTACATAAAGGATATGAGACACTGACTAAGTGATATAAGACGTTTGGTGTTGGGAGTTATGACATACTTAATGATATTTTTCTTCTTTTTATTTATCAGAATAATACATGTGCATTGTACAAAAGTTGGAGAATTCAGAACTTTTTTCAATTGTTCATTTATTTCACTGGTACATTTTAGATATACATAATGATACAATTCATCATAAGGAATTTATACCCATACACGATGTATCTTGATTCTTCTTTTGTTCTATTCCCCTCCCCTCCCTTAAAGCCCTCTTCCCCTCAGTTACAAAAGCTTTGTTTCTATTTTTCCTTCTATTCTTTTTTTCCTTGTCATTTCTTTCCTTTCCTCCTCTTCCCCTCCCTTGTCCTCTTCTCATCTGAAAATTCTCATTCCATTTCCCTACATCTAATATACATTCTGGTCCTCATTTACATTTGGTCCTTTTGGTTTCTCACACCAAAGCAATGATGTGGTATTTAAATATGTGCACCCAGTTTATTTCACTTAAGGATATAGTATCAAGGTGGTTCCATTTTATCAGAAATGTCTCAAGTTTATCCTTCTTTATGGCAGAGTAGTACTCTATGGTATAAAAAAATCCACAACTTTATGCATTCATTCATCAGTTGATGGGCATTTAGGCTGTTATCAAGATTTAGCTATTGCAAACTGTTCTTCTATAAACATGAGTGTGCATATATTACTGTGTTATGATGCTTTTAATTCTTTTGTGAAGATAGCAAGAAAGTCAATAGATGGGTCAGGTAGAACCTCTAGTTTTAGTTGTTTGAGGAATCTCCACACTGATTCCTACAGTGGTTGCACCAGTCTGCACTTCTACCAACAGTTGAGAAGGTTCTTTTTGCCCTACATTCCTGCCAGCTTTTTTTTTCGGGGGGGGGGTGTGACTGCTTGATAATAGCCATTATTTCTGGAGTAAGATGGAATCTCAAAATTGTTTTAATTTGCATCTCTCAAATGACCAGTGATGTTGAACATGTTTTCATATATTTATTTGCTATTTCTACTTCTTCATCTGAGAAGTGTCTGTGCATTTCAGAAGCCAACTTTTAGATTGAGTCTTTAAAGTTTGTGGGTCTGAAATTTTTGAGTTCTTTATATATTCTAGTTGTTAGTCCTTTGTCTGAGGAACAACTAGCAAAAATTTTTTTCCCTACTGTGGGTTGTCTCTTCAGACTATTGGTGGTTTCTTTTGCTGTGAAAAAGTTTATTAACAAAGATGAGATCCTAGTTGTTGTTTCTTTGTGATTTTTCCTGGGTTTTTCAGGGTTTTGTTCATAAAGTCTTTGCTTACACCAATGTTTTCAAGAGTTCTACCATTTCTATCTTCCAGCAGATTTAGTGTTTCTATTTTAATATTTAGATCATTGATACATTTTTATTTTATTTTAGTGCATAGTGAAACACATGGTTTTAATTTTAATCTTCAGGATGTAGAAAGTCAGTTTTTCCAGCACCATTTATTAAAAAGGCTGTCTTTCTTCTAGTGAAAGTTTTTGGCCCCTTTGTCAAAGATAAGGGGGGGTGGGTATGTTTGGAATTGTTTCTTCATGTTTTAATCTGTTCCATTGATCCTTCTAGTTTTGTTTGTTTGTTGGTACCAGGGATCGAGTTCAGGACCTTGCATTTGCGAGGCAGGCACCTGAACCACTGAGCTAAATCCCCGGCCCTGTTCCACTGATCCTTAGGTCTGTTTTTTTAAATTTTTTTTTCCAGTACCATGCTGTTTTTTTTGTTTTAATCACAGTAGCTTTGTAGCGTAATTTAAGTTGGGGATTGTAATTCTCCATTCCTTGCATTTATTGCCCAGAATTGCTTTTGTTATTCTAGGTCTCTTCTGGTTCCAAATGAATTTCAGTGTTATTTTCTCTAATTCTATGAGATGTGACATTAGTATTTTGATCAAGATTGCATTAATTCTGTATAACAAATTTTGGAAGTATGGCAGTTTTCACTATATTGGTTCTTCCTACCCAAGAACAAGGAATATCTTTCCATTTTCTGATATCCTTTTTGATCTCTTTTTTTTTCAGAGAAGTGTAATTTTCAATGTAGAGGATTTTTACTTCCTTCTTTAGATTGATTCCCAGGTATTTCATTTTTTCATTAATTTTATTGGTACATTTTAGGTATACAATATGCTAACATGCATTGTTGGGAATTTGTACCTTTACATAATATATTTGAGTTCTTATTTTTTCCCCATTCCCCTGCCCTCTTTTCAACCTCTCAACCCACCCCTATTTACAAAGACTTTGTTAACATTTTTTTCTTTTCTCATATTTATTCCTTTCCCTTCTTTCCTTTCCCCTACCCCTCCCACTTCCCTTTCCCCTTTGGACCTTTTCTTCCTTTTTCATATTATTATACATTTTGATCCTTATGTACACTTCCAGTTTCTCATATCAGAGAAATTATTTGGTATTTACACATGTGCCCTATTTATTTCACTTAAGAGTATGGCCTCAATGTGCATCCATTTATCTATAAATGTCTCTAGTTTTTCATTCTTTATGCCTCCATTTTATTTTTTAAAACCCCATGTTTTCTTTATCCAGTCTCCAGTTGATGGGCAATTGGGCTATTTTCAAGTTTTAGCTATTACAAACTGTACCACTATGAACATGGGTGAGCATATATCGCTGTGGTATGATTCTTTTAATTCTTTTGGGAAGATACCCAACAGGGGAATAGCTGGGTCAAATGAGACCCCTAATCCTGGTTCATTGAGGTATCTCTGTACTGATTTCCACAGTAATTGCACAAGTCTACACTCCCAAGAACAGTGGAGAAGGGTTCTTTTTTCCCCACAGCCCTTTCAGCATTTGTTATTGGTTAATTTCTTGATAGCAGCCATTCTTTCTGGGGTGAGGTGGAATCTCAGCATTGTTTTCATTTTCATCTCTTGAATGACATTTTTTGGATCCTATTGTGAAAGTTGTTTCCCTAATTTCTCACTCATAAGTTTGTTATTTGTGTAAAGGAATGCTATTTATTTTTGAGTGTTGACTTTGTGCCCAGCTATGCTGCTGAGTTTGGTTATTAAATACAGAAGTTTTTGGTGGAATTTTTTTGGGTCTTGTATGTAGAGTATAATGTCATCTGCAAATAATGATAATTTAATGTCTTCTTTTCCCATCATTCCTCCTTTCTCTTGTCTAATTGCTCTGGCTAATGTTTCCAGAACTATTTTGAATAGGAGTGGTGATAGTGGACACCTTTGTATTGTTCCTGAATTTAGAGTGCAAGCTTTCAGTTTTTGATCATTTAGTATGATGTTGGCTATAAGTTTGGCATAAATGGTTTTTAGCAGACTGAGATAAAAAAAACACAAAACACCTCTATTCCAATTTTCTGTAGGTTTTTTTTTTTTGTACCAGGGATCAAACTTGAGATCTTAAGCTTGCAAGGCAGGCAGTGGAACCACTGAGCTAAATTCCAGGCCCTTTCATAGGGTTTTTATCATGAATTGGTGTTGAACTTTTCAAATGCTTTTTTTTTTAAATTTTATTTTACATCTATTGAGATGATCATATGGTTTTGTCCTTGTCTCTGGTAATGTGTTATATTTCATTTATTGATTTGTGTATGTTGAACCATCCCTGCATAACTGGAATGAATCCTACTTTGTCAGGGTGTATAATGTTCTTGATGATTTGCTGCATTCGATTTGCCAGAATCTTATTGAGGATTTTTGTGTCTGTTCATTAGGGAGATTAGCTTTTAGTTCTCTTTTTTGGTTGGATCCTTCTCTGATTTTGGCACCAGTGTAATGTTTGCTTCCACGAATGAGTTTGGGAGTATTGGTTCCCTTTCAATTTCATTAAAGAGTTTGAGTAATAGCAGGATTCGTCTTCTCTAAATTTCTTGTATAATTCAGCAGTGAATCCATCAGAACCTTGCTTTTCTTTGTTGGTAGCTTTTTAATTACATGGCTAATTTCATTGACTGATCTTGGTTTATTTAAAATTTTTGTAACTTCTTGATTCAGCTTTGGTAATTCATATATATCTAGGAATCTGTCCATTTCTTCTGTGTTTTCCATCTGATCAGAATACAGTTTCTCCAAGTAGGTATTGATGATTTGGATTTCTCTTGTGATTTACCCTTTTCATTGCTAATTGCATGGATTTGAATCTTTTCTTTCTTTGTTTTGATAGGGTTGGCTAAGGCTTTGTCAATTTTATTTAATCTGTCAAAGAACCAACTCTTTGATTCATTAGTATCTTGTATTATTTTCTTAGTCTCCATTGCATTAATTTCTGCTCTTATCATATGAGTTTTGGGCTTGACTTGCTCTTCTTTTACCAGAACCTTGAGATTCAACATTAGGTTGTTTATTTGATCTCAGTCTGTTTTTCTGATATGAGACTTTATCACTATAAATTTCCCTCCTAGGACTTCTTTCATTGCATCCTATGAGTTCCAGTATATTGTACTCATATTATCATTTAGTTGTACATACTGTCTAATTTCTTCTTTAATTTCATCTGTTACCCATTGATTGTTCAGGAGGGTGTTATTTAATTTCCATCTATTGATGAAGATTTGTGGTTTAACATTGATTTTCAATTTCATTGTACTATGTTCTGATAATATGCATGGGATAACTTTAATTCCTTTGCATTTACTTAAGCATATTCTATGAGTTAGTATGTTGTCTATTTTTGAGAATATCCCATGTGCATCTGAGAAGAATGTGTATTTTGATATTGTGGGATAGAACATTCTGTAGACATCTGCTAAGAACATTTGTTCAATAGTGTGGTTCAGTTATGATATTTCTTTGTTAAGTTTTTGTCTGGTTGATCTGTCTATTTGTGACAGTGGGGTATTGAGGTCCCCAAATATAATTGTATTAGTGATTATTTAAGTTTTCATGTCCATTAACATTTGTTTTATATAGTTAGGGGCACTGGTATTTTGTGCATATCTTTTTATGATTGCAATCTCTTCTTCTTTGATTCTTCCTTTTATAAGGATGTAGTGACCTCCTTTGTCTCTCTTAATCAGTCTTAGCTTGAAATCCACTTTGCCAAAAGAACAGTTACCTTTGCTTTTATCTGGGTTCCTGTCTCCTGGAGTATTGTTTTCCATCCTTTGACTTTCAGTCTATGAATTTCTTTTTTAATTGAATGTATTTCTTGTATGCAGCATATTGTTGGATTTTGCTTCTTTATACATTCTACCAGTCTATTTCTTTTGATTGGTGAACTGATATGTATTAACTTATCCTTGTCATGTTATTTTCCTATTGTTGGTTCCCTTTTTCCCCGCTTCTGTTTAATTACTTTCTTTGCCTGGTGGATTCATTCTGCTGGGGTTCATGGAGTTGTAGTCCTCATTATCTCTTTCTACAATGTCCTTCAGAACATGTTGCAGTGCTGGTTCGGTGGTCATGAATTTCTCCAAGTGTTATTTGTCCTGGAAGTATCTTATTTCTCCATCAATTTTGAAAGATAGTTTTGCAGGGTACATCAACCTGAGTTGGAGTTTGTTTTATTTAGAGCTTGAAATACTTAACTCCATCCTCTCCTTGACTTGAGTGTTTGTGTTGAGAAGTCTGCTGTGATTCTGATGTGCTTTCCTTTATAGGTGATTTGCTTCTTTTCTCTATCAGCTTTTATTTCATTGTTTATTGGTACCTTTTAGGTATACAATACAGTCAGATTCATCACTGGGAACTTATACCTTTACATGATATATCTTGGTTCTTATTTTTTTCCCCATTCTCATGCCCTCCCTTCAACTCCACCCCTCCCTATTTACAAAGATTTTGTTTCCATTTTTTTCTTTTCTCATATTTTTTTCCTTTCCCCTATCCCTCCCACTTCCCATACCCTTTTAGACCTTTTCTTCTTATTTTGTGGCTTTTAATATTCTGTTCTTGTGCTGAATTTCTGGGATCTTGACTTTTATATGCTTTGGGATATACTTTTTTGATCATGGCTAATTGGAGTTCTATATGCCTCACTTATCTGGATGTAAATTCTTTGTCTATGGTTGGAAAGTTTTCTGCCATTACTTCTTGAAGAGATTTTATGTCATTTGCACTATCTCCTGCTTTTTCATTGACTCCAATCAATCTTATGTTATTCTTCTTTACATCATGTAGCTGCTGTTGGATTGATTTTTTTTGTGGTCCCTTGCTATTTTTAGGAAACCTTTCTTTTCATGATTGCTAACCACATTCTGTGTTCTGTATCTGATAATCTGCCCTCACATTGGCTCATTCTGCTGCATATACTTTCAGTGGAATATCTTTCCCAGATATCTAATTGAATGTTTCATGGATTCCATTTCTTTCCTATATTCAGCATTCATAGTTTCCATCATTTTCCTAAGCTCCTCTATTTTTTAATTTGTATCTTCTCTAGAGTCACTAATCATAAATGGTCACCTTTTCTATAGTTATCTGAGAGATTATTTCTGATTTGATTTTTTCTAGATCCTCATTCATCTGCTTTGTTTCTTTCATGTTACCACTTCAGAGAGTACAAGTGGGTGGCTTTCAAATTGTTCCACCTCATTTTCCCATTGCTTTGCCATTGGTGAGGTGGTAGTCTGAGGTTGTGTCCTTCTTAACTCTTTTCTCATTTTCCATATTTTAGTTTAATTCTTAGATTGATACTTATAAATTACTTAATAAAGGTAGCTTTATTACTAGTATTTGGAACACAGAAAAATCACTACTTCTCAGAGATGTTTTCCAGGTGTAGCTGGCTTTTGGGTTTTGAGTCTGTTGTAAGATGCTACCTCTTCAATTTATTTGGGATGAGAAGTTGCTGCCTATTTGGCCTAGACCCTGTTTTTTTGCCACTGGTGGTATTGTTTATGATCCTTAGACAATCTCAGTGTTGGCATACCAGGAAGAACAACTGATTAGAACAATTATGTCAGCTTGGCTAAAGCAGTACAATCAGCAATAACAATAGCATCAAACACAGCCTAGAAAATGACTAACTGGTAACTATCAATTTGTCACTTTTAACTGCACAAACTATATTTATGGTTTTATAACAAAATTAAAACAAACCAGAAAATTTTATACAGTAAATATGCCTTCAATATGGTGATTTTACCTGCAGGGGAGAAAATTTTAAAAAGGTTAGAGAGAAAACAGAGAAATGGAGGAAGAGAAAGAGATTAGAAGCAGGGCTGGAGGACAAAGAAAGTTTACATGAACATTGAAAAACTGGTGAAGAAGACAGGAGGGAAAGAGAGAAAGAAGAAATGAAACAAGAACAGAACAGAAAAGCAACAACAAAAAAACTAGAAACAATGTTCACACTAATATAAAAACAAGAACAAATAATCAAGAAAAATAAACAAAAAAAAAAAAAGAAGAAAAAGATGTCCATTTCAGGGCATGACTCTGCTGTCACTGGTAAAAAGAGTTGGCAGACAGATTCAAGGTCCATCTTGATTAATCTCAGCAAGTCAGCCACAGATTTACGGCAGAGTAACGGATAATTCCAGCAATCCTGCACCTTTAGTTCTACTGAAGTTCCAGCTGGTTTCTGCCTGCGAGGCTGGAACCTGATTTATTCAGCCTGCAACATTCCATAAGTCTCCTTCCAATTTGAACTCAGCTCCCTGAAGGTTTGAACTCATCTCCTTGACCTCCTATTTACTTGAACTTGGTTCTGCCTCACCCTGACACTGGGAGAGGCTAGATGGAGGCAGCTTGCATGTACTCTGAATTCTGAGCTCAGTTGGCCCCTCTGCAAGATGATTATTTGCCAATCATCCTCTTCTGGGGGATATCGAGACCCAAATAACTCACCAGCCTGTGTAGTCCTCTGAGTCCACCACTCCATTCCACTGTGTGTCTCTGGAGGCCCCTGGGATCACCAGTAGTCACCATGTGTCTGCAAGTTGGAGTCCCCCTGACCCAACAGCAAGCTAGGGCTCAGTGAGAAAGCCCAGCTTGCAACCTCCTTCTTCTGCATTAAGTTCCTTCTCTTCACTTTCCTCATGAGCTTCAATTTTACCTGCAGATCCTTGCTTCCCTCCTTCTTCTCTTCCTCACTTTGCTATATTTAGCATCTGGAGAAAATAAAAATTAACCATAATCTTATAATTATTAAACAAATCATTGTTAATATTTTAGCATGTTACATTCCAGACTTTTTCTGAGTATATTTCCATTGTGTTCATATTTATCAAGTGCACTAAGAAAAAATAACATTCTCTCAGTTATTGACTCAAAGCTTATCACTAAACCTAACAGACAAAAGGTTAACATCCTTTACCTAAAAAAAGAGCTGCTATAAATAAGAATTTTAAGAAACTATGTAAGTAATAGAAAAAACAAGTTCAGTGGGCATAATCAAATAATGCACAAATCAGGATTATTTAAATCTAGGTAGGTAAAAGGAAAAAAAATTCAGTGAGCATAACAAAGTAATGCACAAAAGACAAAAATGATTAATAAATGTGAAAAATATCAATTATTTTAGTAACACATTAAATGCAATTCAAACACTGAGATCACGTATTTTACCTACTAAATAACTTGGTTTTTTTTTTCCATTAAGTTTATTGGTACATTTTCGGTATACAATACAGTTACATTCATCATTGGGATCTTGTACCATTACATGAGTATCTTGGTTCTTATTTTTTTCCCCTTCACTTGCCCTCCCTTCACCCCCTCCATGCTTTCCTATTTGCAAAGACTTTGTTTTCATTTTTTTCCTTTTCTCATATTTTTTCTTTTCCCTTTTTTCCTTTCCCCTACCCCTCCCACTTCCCCTGCCCCTTT